CATTCTTTGGTATCGATCTTGCAGTACTTGATTCTACTACTGGTAATGAGATAACGACAATGGAGGCAGAAGGAGTTTTGGCCATACGCAAACCTTGGCCATCAATAGCACGTACAATTTATAAAGATCATAATCGATATTTTAATACATACCTAAAACCCTACAAAGGTTATTACTTTACAGGAGACAGTGTTGCTCGAGATAGAGATGGTTATTATTGGATTCGTGGACGTGTGGATGATGTAATTAATGTGTCAGGTCACAGATTATCAACAGCAGAGATCGAATCAGCTTTAATTGCTCATCCTATGGTTGCAGAAACAGCAGTCATTGGAGTACCTGATGACTTAACAGGACAAAGTGTACACGCTTTTACCACCCTAAAACCAGACTGTAATGTAGATGTAAAAGATTTGATCTCACAAGTACGTAAGGCTATTGGACCATTTGCTGCACCTAAAAAGATTTATGTTGTTGCTGATCTACCAAAGACTAGAAGTGGCAAAATTATGAGACGTATTTTAAGAAAGATTATTTCTGATGAAACAGATCAATTAGGTGATTTAAGTGCTTTGTCAGATCCAAATTTGATAACTATTTTGACTGAAAACGTTAATAGTTCATAGATTTCTTATCTATGTTAATCCTCTATCCGTTATACTATTTTGGCCGCGTTATTAATAACCCTATACATAAATCTTTATCACAAATGTGAATTATTATTAATTAATAAAGCTTTTGTTTGCTAATTAAACATAGAGAGTATGATTTAGGTAAAATGTTATAATTGCTCATCTTGTCCAGACTGATTTGACCAGTCTAATTCAAGAGCTTAATACTGGTCAAATTGAGCAAATTATACGTCAGGATGGAATTATAGATTTTGAGTCTAAATGTAGCACAAGTTTATATGAAATTTAAAAGCAATTCTAAATTTGATACTGTAATAATCAATAAATTTAATAGCAACTTAAGTTGATTTTAAATTCGATATTGTAATAAATGTGCAATCGATTGACGTAACAGCAGTTAAATAAATTACATTATATCGTTATGCTAAATTGTTTAGATAAAATACAAAGATGAACGAATCTCAAGGTTAACCTTATTTTCGCGTAATAACGCCCATGAGCGTTATCTCGAATTTTGACCAGAATTAAGCTTAATTTAGGCCAAAATTCGAAATTATACCCCTGTGCCTTCCAAACATCTTGGCAACAAATTGGCCAATAGTCGATACAAACCTTTTACCACGTGAAGATTTTGTATCGAGGTTTTACAAATACAAATACAACGATCCCTACAAGATCAACGAGGTTTTGGATACACCAAAATAAACAATTAACAAACACACTAACATCATTACACCTTTACCTCATCCTCCTACTCACCATGTTAGCATAGTCAAATATAATAAATGGTCAAACACATTCCCTACCACTAATATATCTACATTTTACATAACTACACTAAACCTAGTGAAGACCAGGTAGCCTACTTTAAAATAGTCCTATCTGTAGGTCCTATAATAACTCATGTAATTCATTCTAAACAATGTAACGCATAATTATTCAATAAATACTGAGACCAGGCCTCACTCTTAAAAAAAAGATAACAAAATATAACGCATCCTTTTCAGATATTAGTTTTACCGGCATAAATAAGTAAAGCTTGTAACGTCAAAATCTATGCATTGAGGTACGTGCGTACGTACGTATAAAACGCGTCATTTATCAGTTATTGATTATTGCAGATCTCATAACACGTCTTTTTTTCGTTTGACATTATTATGATATGAAATGAAAATAGTCAATGAATAGCGCCAAAACTTTACAAATGCACCGTAATACAAAACTTTATATATTTCATATCAAATTTTTTAAAGCCATTTATTTTTTTATAAAATTTAAAAAGGTAATGTTAGCAAAAATTTTCTTTTACCGTACATTATTGGGTAGGTGAAAAATAACGGTAAATTTTTTTTTTATAGAAATGTAAAATGAAGAAGCGTATTAATGGAAAATTATTCGATTTACATGAAAATTTTAGAATAGGTATATTTTGTTCTCCCAAACAACTCTATTTTTGCATAAAAATCGCAATCGTATATAAAATTTTTAAAAAAATTTTTTAAGACTTTATATCAAATTGTACTAAGAAAGTCAACTTTTATGCAATAAGTAAAGTTGTTTAAGAGAATAAATTACACTTATTCTAAAAAAAATTTAATTCTTTCGTATAAAAGCAAAATGAGGAAACGTATTAATCAAAGGTTATCCTATTGATATCAAAATTTAAAGTTAAGTGTATTATGTTCTCCCGAAAAACATTACTTGTTGCATAAAGTTTGCTTGACTTAGAAATTTTTGACTTTTATGTATAACAACTATTTGTGATTATAAATAAATATGATTATAAAGTGATTTTATTATTAAAATATAAAAGATGTGCTGGTGATTAGGGACTGGACTCGTCAACTCGTGACCCGAGTGATTCGAATTTATCACTCTTCGAATCATGAAAGTTTAACTC